GCACGCACGCACGCACGCACGCACACACACACACACACACACGCACGCACGCACGCACGCACGCACGCACGCACGCACGCACGCACGCACGCACGCACGCACGCACGCACGCACGCACGCACGCACGCACGCACGCACGCACGCACGCACGCACGCACGCACGCACGCACGCACGCACGCACGCACGCACGCACGCACGCACGCACGCACGCACGCACGCACGCACGCACGCACGCACGCACGCACGCACGCACGCACGCACGCACGCACGCACGCACGCACGCACGCACACACACACACACACACACACACACACACACACACACACACACACACACACACACACGCACGCACGCACGCACGCACGCACGCACGCACGCACGCACGCACGCACGCACGCACGCACGCACGCACGCACGCACGCACGCACGCACGCACGAAAATTAAAGAATAAAAACAAAGTTTGTTATTGTTGATTTACCATCGTGATCCTGGTTCAGTTTACATGGGGGAAAAATAAAGAAATAAATAAACCACATGTAAAAACATTATTAGTTGGGAAATGATGATGATGATGATGATGATGATGATGATGATGATGATACTAATAGGATACTAATAGTAATAATAATAATATTGACAGCAACAATAATGATAATAATAACAGTAATAATAATACGACCGGTAATATTGATATAAATCAAATCATCGTAAAACAGAACTCGCATCACCATACGTTATACCGCTATAGAATATAACAATAACTGTTCCAATCACATAGTCTGGCAGTGGTAGAGATGAAAGAAAAAAAAATATGAAAAATGAACGTATATGCTCACATGGGCGTTTGTTAAAATATATATTACCATGGGCGTTATGTTCTTGTTTGCTTTAATCTTATCAGCCACGTGACTGCGCTTCGAGGTCCATGAAGTATGCATGAAGCTATCGTGACGTTTCCTTTCTTTAAAATGGAGTAAAAATTCATGTTTCATAAATGTACATAAATCCCGTACAGAGCAAATGCACGAGTGTTTTAAAGCGCATGAGAAGGGACGTTGTGGTAAATATATATATATTTTTTACGAGGATAAAAATATAGAACAGTTCAGAAAAACACTGAACCCTGAATATTGCAGTAGGAATGGCGGTATAGACGCTAACACGTATTTATATGAAAGAATGGTGTTGCAATTAGAACTTTTAAAAAATACATATGGATCTTGCAGAGGAAATTAAGATCCATGATGACCTATAAACAATAACGAGAATAATTTGAGCATGATATGTCATATGGGTGTATACCACACATTCAAATAAAACGCAATGAAATCTAAACAAAATAGTTTCGTGTCTTCTATATGCTCATCCTCTGTTTGCACAACTCACAAGCAAATCCAAAGCGAAGCATTTGCTAAATCACTCCTTTTTTTCTTTTCCTTTTTTTACTTTCTTTCTTTCTATTTTTAAAGGGAAGGAAAAAAATCGCCCTGTATTCTGCTTCGCCTGATTAACAAGGTTTAATCTCAGGACACATGTCCGTTGATTGTTCTCCCTCTCTATTCGGAAATGACTAGTTATTTCTCTTCTCAGTTATTCATGAATTCTTTATTACTATTAGTGAGAGACGAGCGGGTAATTCTGGTTTTCACAGTTGGTTATGTGAAGCGACTGTTGAAAAAAATGTGTAGTGAAAATATGTTTATAATGTAATGTATATCTGTTGTACACATTAATACTAATCCTCCCAAATTAAAGATTATAGATTTGAATAACATTAGAAACATTGACATTCGTTTACTTTAATCATCTTTATAATCATTATCAATTCTACCATATCAAAGCCAAATTTTTCTTTTGTCTTTAGTAAAACGAAATTAATCCTTTAATAACAGATTTTAATGTCAGGGAAATTATGTAGAATTATAAATCTATATATGAAAGTCTAATATGCATAATCAACTAACCAGGGATAAGAATGCTCATTAATATCTAAAGCTTGGCAGCCTTACGTACGACAAAAAAAATCCCTTTATTTTCACTGCAATCTTTCAATGTTAGCTATATGCTCGTTACTGGGAAAAACGAAAATAAAAAGTTCTTCATTCAACATAGACCAATAAAATAAATTAATATAAATCTAATAAGAAATAGATAAAAAATAATAAATAAAGATAGATATAAATAAATCTAATAGAATAGAATATAAATCAGTCATGAAAGTATTGGGAATATCAACACATATATATATTTATTTTTACAGGGGGGATAATTTTTTTTTTTTTTTTTTTTTACAGGCACCCTAACCCTGTCTACAATAAATCACCACTAACACACTTTTGAAGTTCTCAGATAATGTAAAGGCAAGCAAAATTAAACGGGTGGGACAGACAGACAGACAGACAAACAGACAGACATAGACATAGACACAGACACAGACATAGACAGACAGAAAGAAAGATAGAGAGAGCCACAGTTCCTCACAGGAATATCAACTTACCTTAGTTAAACAGAAAACGAACCGCGATGATTTAAGCTTCGGCAAATTCCTCTTTCTTTCTCTCCTTTTTTCTCTCCCTTTTCATTTGTCTTTCAGCCTACATATATTTTCTCTTTTTTTTCTTCTTTTTTTTCTTCTTCACCGTTTCGTGTCTATCGCATTAAGAAAATAGAGTTCTATCGTGTGTTCAGTCCAAAGTTTCAAAGAACCATAATTTTTACTCACTATAGTCACATTGAGGATGATAATTTCACAAATTAGCTTTTTTTTATTATTTTAGCAAACAATGTTCATTAAAAAAAATTCTATTTTCAGCAGGGAAGTCTAGCGGAAAATATATTTTATTATTCTATTTCCTGTTAAGTATAAACAATGATAAAAATCGTCCATTAGAGTTGAGATTCTAACGAAAAATATGAATAAACTTTTAAACTAAATAAATTTGAATTTCGCGTGTGCCTTTTATTCTTTCTTTTCATAACGCGAAAATCCGAATAATTTACTATATAGTAATATATAGCGTAAAATAACACCGCATATATATGTGTGTGTGTGTGTGTCACATGTATATAAATAAATATGTGTGTGTGTGTGTGTGTGTGTGACTTTATATATACACATACATACATACATGCATACTTGCATATTAACATGCATATATACAGACATAATTACCTAATTCTTACATACATTCACATGTATGTGCATTTACGTTTTGTAAATTATAATGCATACGTACATATAACATAGTAGATACAATATTATTATTATTGGTGGTAGTATCATTATTATCGTAATTTTTATTATTATTGTTATTATCGTTATTATTATTCTTGTTATTGTTGTCATTATCGTCATTGCTACTATCATTATTATTGTTGTTATTATTATTGTTATTATTATTATTATTATCATTATTATTATCTTATCATCATCATTATTATCATTACTTTTATTATTAATATCATTATTATATCATTACCATTATCAATATTATTAATATTACCATTATTATCATTATCATCATTATAGTTATAATAATAATTATTATTATTGTACTTATTATCATTACTATTATTATTATTATCATTATCATTATCATTACTAATATTATTAATACTATTATCGTTCTTATTGTTATGATTCTTATTCTTCTCACTATGATTATCATTATTATTGTCATTATTATTATTATTATTATTATTATTATTATTATTATCATAATCATGATAATAATAATTATTATTATTATTATTATTATTATTATCATTATCATTATTATCATCATAATTATAATTATTATTATTATTGTCACAATGTTGTTTTCATAATTATTGTTTTTATTAAATAAATTACTACTATCACCATTATCATTATTATTATTATTGTTATTAGTATTAATAAGAGAGAGAGAGAGATAAAAACAATGATAATAATAATGATATTGTAATAATAATAATGATAATGATGATGACGATGTTGATAATAATAATAATAGCAATGAAAAAGATAATAATTACGATGAAGATAATGATAGTCATATTAATAATAATGATAGTAATGGTGATAATAGTAATAATAATAATTTTAATGATAGTGATAATGATAATAATTAAATAATTTCGTCATTGTTATCATTATCTTTCATGATAATTAGCCTCATTTGCCATAATTATTAATTGAAAAATGCTTATGATAATAATTTTGTTCATTCGCATCACTAATATCGTAACTGTCGTTAAAAACACCATAACATTTTTACTGTTATAATTTATGCCATTGCATATTATTTTGAATCAATTTTTATTTTATATTCTCATATTATAATCTAATATAATTTTCATTTGTATTACAGTGATTAACATTACTATTATCATTCGTATTATATCTCAACACGTTTGTCATTATTCATATCATTAGCATAATTAGCTTTATTGTCATCTTCATTTTGTTTTCTTGTAATCATTTTAGTTTTCATTCATGTTATAATGATATACTGTCTTTTATTTCGTTTAATTTTATACATTCTATTTTCTTTTTTTTTCTTTTTTTTTACTTTTTTTTCTTTAATCTATAACAGAAGCCATGCTCATGGTTAATTGTTTAACTATTCAGATTATAACTATTATTATCGTTTTCCTTAATCATCATATTGCTGATAATTATAGTCATTATTATTATAGCGTTACTATTATTTTTTTATTATTACTATTATCATCATTATCACCATCATCACATCACAATCTTCATCACTATTATTAAGGTAATGATCTGTGTTATCATATACAGGTAGTATAAGTTATTTTTTTTTTATGAATACAATACCTCACCATTATTAATGCATAACGGTGTGTAGTCATCGAAAGTATTGGTTTACTAATGACTATTTTAATTATTATAAGCAATGAATGTACCCGTTCTGCTTAATGTAAGATTGTACATCACCATGATTTATAATGTTATTGTTTGATTTTAAGTATTTTCAACGGATGACGTTATG